ATCCAACGTTGAAGGTTTGAGACTACTGTGTTGGAGTCTGATCAAAAAGTTTCTTATATATACAATCCATACTAAAAGATGCGCCCGTACAATTTTGCAATTTGGTAGACATTTTCATTTGAATTCAACATAATCACCCCTTCTATAACCGAGAAGCTTAAGAATACCTGGATTTAATGTAAAGTACTCAGTTTTCTGCAATCATGTAAACTATCGTAAAGTAACTACTTTTGCCTGATCTTGTCAACGATTTCCAGCCTCACGATTTGTTCTTTTTTGTGCTTCAATTCAAGTGGAATTTTGAAAGGAAAAATTGGAATTATCCTAGTTGAGGTACATTCAGAAGCGGCGAATTTACTGAAGATCCTGCAGCATTTTCCGCATTTCTTACTTAAGACTAACTCCGCTTTTATTTTTCTAAACCTTTGATGCCAAGATTTAGTGCTTAGCGCCTTATTCTTGTACGATTGAATAATGTTCCAGATTGCGATGATGATGCTGATTGATCAAATACCAACGAAAATCGTCGATGGACATGGATTTCGTAGTTTGATGAGGTAATCTGGACGTATATAACCACTGATTTGCGCTGCAGTCTTGTAAGGCATCCTAAATAATAGCATGAACTGTTGAATATGTTCAAAAATAGAAAAGGCGAATTGGAGAAACGTAGGAGTTGAGAAGCTCATGTAAGAAAAATAAGAATGTTTCTTGAAATGATATAACGAGAACCCTCTGTAATTTAAAATGAATAAACATGCTTGATTCTGGAGCAAAGACTAAGCAGCAGTATCTTCAATGTTTCTTTTTTTTAAAGCTTTTGCCTATAATCCACTTTCAGTTTCCTGTTACCTGAATATCCAATGCCGTCAGCGGAGTTATTCGAATCGACTATCTGTCCGGAGGTGATCACACAAATACAACCACATTTGGCTACGCTTTTCACAGCGAACAAGTCAGTTATTGAACATTGAGTCTATTTTTGGTTTCTCATAACTTTAAATCTTGAGAGCTAAAGTTCAGGTAATTACATCATTTTGTTTTTTATTAAGCTGCTCTAGGATTACACGATATAACTAATGGAAAACAATTTGCGCTTTTAGGCAAACAGCGCTGTTTAAAATTAAGCACTTATATGTTCTCTAGTCTATAGAACCTCGAATGAAAGACGTGTTGACAAATGTCGTTCAAAGAACACTTCTTCTCGCAGGATATCATGTAAAATAATGCAATACCACAATCCATTCGGATTCAGTACAGTATATGCAACCCACTCAATGCACTGCCATATCTTAAATTTCCCGGATATTTCGGAGCTTCGCATTCATCACATTTTCTTTGTTCTTGACTTTAAGTGCGCGTTCGACCGAGCACAGTTTTGAACACGAACCTGATAGGTCTTTGTTGCCTTTCGTCTTTCACCCTCCTTCACTAACCTCAGTATCTCAGCGCAGATGCCACCCGCAAGGATGACAAAATGTCTGTGAACGCTTCGGACACCAACGCTCGAGTGTCCTTGCCGTTTGTACGCTAGTCGAGAAGTCACAAAGTAAAAACAATTTTTCAGGGAGCGAGCGCATAGCATTCCTCATTAACATCCAGAAAAGATTATCTATTAAGATCT